GAAGGATAATGTGACACTGAAGACTGGAGTAATGATGCTGAAAATTCTGATTTGCCATCACAGGAATAAATTTCATTTTTTTAATTGTATTTTTGATCAAATAAATGTAGCCTATTCTGCCGTCTGAGCTGGGTGGCATGCTGCCTCCTTACGACATGGGCACCTGGGCCAGAACGTTGCTGGACCACGCGTATGACGAAGAGACGGACTACTGCCCTGAATCCTATACCTTGTCTGTCAAAGACCTGGAGAAAGATCTGTCCCCCAAAACTATGAAAAGGTCTGTTACTTGATGATCTAGCTTTCCAGTACAGTTGTTTGATGTATTTTTGTCTGTTGACATCCTTATTTAAGTTTTATGCAGGCATAGTGGAATGTTTTAGTATTATTTGTTACCTTTGTATTATTTATATATGTTATTATAGCATTTATTAATATTTTAAATTAGCTTTAATTTTTTATTTTCAGTTTTCATTTTAATTTTAGTTTAAGTTTTAGTATTTTTTCTGTGCTTTTGTCATTTGTATTAGCTTACTTTTTTTGTTTTAGTAAATGTAGTGTTTCAAATGATTTTTCAACTTATTTAGCTTTATTTCGGTCAGTTGCCAAGGCAAAATTTTATTTTTTTTAAAAGTTTTTGAGTTAAAATTTGTCATATAATATTATTTTATTTGATATTTTTATTATATCTTTTTATTATATATTTTCTTTTATTTTCACCTTTATTTCAGTTACTCCAAACAATTTTTAATCATTTTGATTTTAGTTTCAGTTAACCATAACATTGGTGCTCATTGAAACAAGCATGTGAGGTCACCGAACTGCCCATATAATATATGTTATTTATTTCTAATGTGCTTGTTGAATGACATAATTTGGTGGCTTGCCATGGAAACAGCATTTGCTTATTCACAGTCTTCATTCAAGTAGAATTATCAAGAGAGTCGCTCTGGATAACAAAAATAAGCTGCTTTGCCACAGGCATAAAGAAGCTACAGTGTTTGTTAAAGGAGTCACATTTGAGCTGCACACTGTATGTTTCTTCATGGTTACGGTGCTTAGCAACAGACTCCCTAGTTTTATGATAAAATGCAGCTCTTCTTAATAAAATAAGCATTTTGGGATGATCTTACAGTATGTGTTTGACTGAGCGACTTGAGCTCATTTCACTAATCAAGACATGGTGAGGTGTCTCGACTTACTGGGTCATGAAATCAGCATGAAGGAGTGAAGCCATTGCCATGAGCTGCTTTAAATGATGCACTGCCTATAAATGGACACCTATAGAGCGTAAAAGAAGACGTTACAGAGGTTTTCCTGTGGCAAACATCTTTTTCCCCTTGCCTTCTGCAGTTGGGGCTGTACTTGTACAGAGACGTTGGCTACCAAATATAGCCTAGTTTGCAGTGGCTTATTTTTCCCTCACATTTGAAGGAACTGTTTGGATTCTATCAAAGTGTCTGGGGAGTGCAGTAGTTGGAAGAAAGTAGGTCTTAGAAGTTCTTCTATTGCTAAGATCAAAGTACTGTTCTTTAAACAGCTTTGGCTATTAAACTAAACCTCCCAGTCCGCACATAACACATCTATGTACATAAAAAAATAAGCTTTGGTGGAATCCTGCACCCTGTATGGTGAATTATTCTCTAGTGTTGTATTATTAACATAATTCATCATGTTTTAGATGTGACAATAGATTGCTGGTGATGATCTATATTTACTGATATTCAATTCCATCTATTCAGTCTCATGGATACACTCACAAACAGGTCATATATTGGGGCTTTGGTTTACAATAGTGAGATAAAAGTTTTTCTTTGAAATTAGCATTTCTTTCTGGCTACTATATATAGGTTTCTATGTAAGTACTGGTACTTCTGAATGGGTTGAGGCTGGGATTTAGTGCATTTGAAGTGAAAGTACTTGATGAACATATACTATGTGTGGAGAGCATTCACTCAGTATCATTATCTCATTTTTGACCAAGATGGCTTTTAGAGGCTTTTGCATTGGAATGGATATACTGTATATATATGATCAGTAATGACTAGATGACTGTATATTACCTCTCACATATCATAGCCCACTTTTCACAATCCATTCAAATCCCGATGGAATCACCTTGTCCTACATTATTTCCTTCTGAATATTCAGCACATCAAATACATCACATTACTGAAGTTAAATGCAGTGTAAACTGGATTTCTTTTGTCAAATCTAGCAGCTGCCTGATAAGAAACCGAGGCGTTCCCCATAGCGACCCCTAGAGGACGCAGTGTCTCGTTCCCCTCAGGGAACCATGGTTACATACGTAACCTGAGACGTTTTTGTTGAATTTTCATGATTACAATCATGGTTCATAAATGCGTCAGTCAGAGGAAAGTGCCCCAGATCTGCACATGATGAACGACAGCACACTGTCCTCAAAGCTTCTTATGCCTCTACGAGAGGGCTAAATCAAAAGTAGGCCAACACAGTGCACTAAGATAACATGTTCCGTTACACATCCTTCACTTTAAATGATTGTGACATGCACAATGCATCATTAATTTGTGTGTATAGTGTGCAGTGTGCAGTGCTCTGTTTATGTACCTAAATGTTTCATTGGGGTCCAAATATCTGAGAGTAAATGTCACTATTTTGGATTTTTTATTTATTTATATTTCATGTCAGATCACATGATCATACTTTGGTATGTCCACTTTGAAAACTTTTAGATGAGCCTGTAGGCCAACTTCCCTCATGGTCAGTCCATGCAGAAGAACATGGTCAACTATAGTGCTTTGTATTTCATCAGGAACAAATGAAAATTGACCTCATCCCCTTCGTTTTTATTTCCCTCTCCAATTCCTCTTTGTCTCCCACTACCAGGATTCATTTTCCAAAACACATCAGCTGTGCTCTTGTTCACATCATCCTGAGATTCTGACCTGGTGTCATCAGTTTTGCTACTTAATGTTCACACATGGATAAATATGTGCTGTTTGAGTTCATTTTTTGATGCTTGAGTTAATTATATTGTGTGTTTGTGTTTTCTGAATGAGAACATGGTTAAACCTGGGCAAAATGATGGCATTTTTGTGTAGAGTTTTGCAGAAAACACTGAGCAAATTGGAACATGTGTGCAAACAGGTGAAATGCGCTAAAAGTTTTGAGAAATGTGTCTTTGTTTCGAGAACTGTATGAATGGTTTGGAAAATTGGGCCGAATGAATCAGTTATAGTGTGTTAGCAATCGAGAAAAACTGTATAATAATAATAATAACTGTATAAATAATAATAATTTTTTATCTTTCTCTGTCATGTCATAACTTTTCTTGTTCATTTTCAGGTTTAAATTAGGATTAAATTTTGTATCCTAGCTTTTCAATGCACTCTCAGGATTTTTCATTTCTCAGTTGTACATCTTGAAATGCGGTTCATTCATATTTTATTTATACCTGCAGGTCCCAGTCTGTGGTGGAACCAGGTGTCCTGAAACGACCAGAGAAAGTGAAAAGCGAAGAAGAAAACATGCAGCCGCTGCTTTCTCTGGACTAAAGGCAACGAGGAAACGTCAATCCCCCTACGCTGGGGAGGAGCGCACCTTGTTCCTATAACACGAGAAAAAAAAAATACAAAGAAAGGAAATGTTAAAAAGCGAAAGAACACACGAACAGCCTCCAGGAACACTGCAGAGAGCTGCCGGTTTAAATGATATTTTTGAAGCAAAGAGCCAACGGCGGACGTCCGTATGTAATTGTCAAGTGCCAATTCAAATCTGTAAATACACTTCAGTTCTAGACGTGAGATTGAGGGAGTAATTGTGACATGAACCTGTAAAGACTGCTGTGAATATCCTGTGTGTGCTTCTCGTGATTATTATGTAGAACATGGTACTGTAGGATGGGTAATAATGCTTATAAAAATTCACAAGCTTTGGGGTTTCCGGCATTTATAATCCCCAAATCAGAAGTCGCTCAGGAGTATTTCGAAAGGAACGCATAGAGCTGTTGACGGTGTCAGACAGGCATATGCTACTTCCATTAAAGGAAACACCATCATTGGTCCAGGTTTCAGTGTTTCACAGCAAATACCCCTTTACGAAGAAAAGATTTTTCTAATGAGCGTTTGCTAATATTATTTTAACACGCGTTTTCGGTTTAGTATTCTTATATCCCAGAGGGATCGAGTCACATTTAGTGGGCTTTAGCTGATTCTTCACTGATGGCCGTGTTGTTTACACGCTGTCGTAGATCCGTGGAATATCGCTTTATTTCATAACCATTTCCATATTAGGCCAAGTTGGTTTCCAAGGCATTTGTATTCACACCAAGGACCAGATACATTACAACAAAGTACCGTCTTTGCAATCTTTTCAACTTCAGAGTCATTTCTGCTGAAGTTAAAGGAATAGTTCACCCAAAAATATGTATTCTCTGTTTATTTACTCACATATTTTAGTATCATTTAGATACCATTGTAGTTTTTATTAATATTTTGATTATTATTCATTAACTAAATGAATAGTTAAAACTCTATATGTTGATATATTTGCTGGCCATATGTTGATATTTTTCCATGAAAACACGAAAGGAGAGTTTTGAGGAGTTTGGAACAACACGATGGTGAGTAAATAAAGACAAGATGTTCGTTTTTGGTTGCACTATTCACTGGAACACTAACACAGAGGATTACACAGAGCCACGAACAAGGTGTTGTATATAGTGACACATGCTAGTGCATGCCTCCACATGCTTATCTTGGTCAGCTTATGGTTTAGATCGTGTGAAAATTGTTTACTCTAAATTACTCAGCTGTTTTATGATACCTGGGGTGTTGGCAATAGGTTTTTACAGCGGTTAAGTTTCAAGCCCAAACGAGTGAATTTAACACAGATAATTTCACCATTTGATACTTTGTGAGTGCGTGTAAGGAACAAGGGCAATATACACTACATTTAAAATACATAATGTACATAAAAATCTTTAAGGCTTTCACTTTTGCTGATATTTTTTTCTCCATGGAAACAAATAATTACACATCCTCATTGATTTTGAGCAAATTATACTTCCCAGACACAGATTTCGATATAAATACGTAATCAAAGCTTCTAGCTTGGCTAAACAGTCAAATTTAGGAATACTGTGGTTATTTTGTGTGATACATAATGTAAAATTCTGTGGGTACAGCTTTGTACAGTGGCTCAGTTTGGTCCTGTTTTTATTTTCTTATTTCATATAAATCAATAACTACTCAAATATTACACATACATTGTTGTACACTTGCATATATGATGACACATACAATATGGATGCATTGACGGCATCTAATGTATCTAACATATACACAGATTTAGAAATCAATAGATAACATACAGTACAATCAGCCTAACAATTTCATGAATCTCCAAAGTTGTTAGTTATATATTAGATGCTGTTAATACATTACTTGTATATGTTTCAGTGTTTATGCAAACATCCCTTGATTTTTTTCCCATCTGTAGCTTTTGAACACTAAGACTTTACAATTTACAGTACATCTATACCAGATTTGCTCCTCTTCACAACAAGCAGGTTAACAATCCAGATTATGACTTTTTATTTAGCTGATATAGCTTGTGTTAAGGAAGGTGATATCTGTTTTTTATTTGCTAAAACTAAAGTCTGCCCACTCTCACGACTCATTGGGCTTCTAACATCTCAAAGCGAAAATTGTTTCTAAAACCTTGCTTTATCATTCTGAACAGAATCAGGGAAAACAAAAATGTGAAAATTGGCTATTTTGAATCAGAATGTATTTCCCAGAGAGTAATGGTGTTATGTACAGTATAGTCATTATTACACTTCCTGTGTCACATTCAGATATTGTGAGCAGGAAGGCCTCAAATGATGGTGTAAATTGTTTCAGCATATATTTAGTAGAGCTGTGTTAATGCCATGATCAGTATTTTAATACACCTTGAATTTATTTGTATTCCTGTATATGCTTTGTTCATGCTGCATTATGAACAGCCTTGTTTGCATTTTAGGCAATCAGAATGTTGATCAAATTGTCTCCATTTTTCTAGCCTTGCTTTCTATGGATATGTACATGTATTGCCATTACAACCAAAGCATCCCTGGGTCAAAGAAACCAACAAGTATCACCTGCTTTTCTAAAGACTACAGGAACAATATTTCTTTGATTGTTGGCTTATCTTTTCCATATCACTTTGATTGTATAATAGGGTGTTAGTGCTGAGAAGCTCATGCAGTATAGAGGTATTATCATGCAGAGCAATACATGTGGTTTAAAGGAACATGTTGAATGGAAATAAATATGTGTATATGTCCTTTCAAAATGCTGAGATAAATTATGTAACTGAAACTAAACTGCAAAAGGAAAAAAAGCAGCCAATAAATATTCATATACATAGTTTAAACCTATGAATCAGTTTTGAACTCTGCTCTTAATTTTGCTTTGTTTTTAACAGGTTATTTAATTTCAGATGGCACACTGACATCTAATAAGGTGAATTGCTTCTGTTTCTTTCACAAGCTCTCCCGCAAACGTATGTCCATGTAAGTTTGGTAAACTTGTACGAAATTCCACGAAAATAGGGCATTGTTTTATGGCAGCAACAAATGCATGTGTACAGTTATGACAGCAGTATATTTACGACAGTGAATTCCACTCATTTAACTGTAGGGGCTCCAAAGTCACAAAAACACAAAACTACATACTGTATAGCTGCTTTAAATAATTGTAAAATATAGTTATACATTATTATATTTTAAATTGTAATAATATTTCACATTACTGTATTATTCAAACTGCAGTCCATCATATAACAAATATTTTTGTTGTTGTTTTTGTCACTCATCAGGATAAAATCGCTTAGAAAATCACATTCCATTAGCTTAGAAAAGTAATATATCAAGCTGCATGATTTTAGGTATCATAACCACACATATAGCACATAAACAAGGTGTTAGGAGATTAGGAAATGCTACAGTCCATAAAGCCTTTTTTTAGCTTATGTCGGCAGCTAATAAGTTTAAAGTCATCGTTAACACTCTGAAGGGGCCGTTTGTTTGCTGAGAGTGCACAAAACCGGTGCCAAAATCTTCCGGTTGTCCTGATCTCATTCTGTGCCGCCCACTCAGAGCGTCTGCTGAGTCTGCTGTGGACACACCCTGAGCCCTCGTGTACAAACGCAGCACAAAACCACTGCCCTCCTGCATTATTTAGTGAGGGTGTCATCATCGCAGCTCACACCACCTTAAGTGTGCAATCAGGCTGCGGCTCTCTGATGGCCACACACATGTAATACACTGCAGTGGAGAGTCTAATTAAAAAGCATTCGTCATATTTAAGACCATGTCGTACGTCTGCTGACCATAATGGTGCTTATGTCATTCTCTGCATGCATTGCCTCTTTATTTCCACATAGTCGCAAGGAGTCGCTCCTTAGTAAGGATGTACAGACCTATTTATCTTCAGGGCTTTTATTGTCTACCGAGACCATGGGATGCCAGTGCTAATATGAGATTCTCTGTCAGACTGTCTTCTTGAGACAGCAGTTCCCATATTGGAGAGTTTGGCCTTGTCTAAACCGGGCTGTTTTAAATGGAGATGAAGCACTGATCCTGCCCCGAGGAACCTTCTCTGCTGATGATAGTGGAAGACTTGCTTTTATGGAGCAGCAGGGTGTTTGTGAATCATGGATGTTCATGCAATACAATCATGATGAATGACACACTAACTGAACATGAAATGTTGCATTGAGATTTCATTCATGTGTGTTAAAACACTTTCTTCTTATCCCACTTTAAGGAAGAGAGACAAGAGGGCATGAATTTTTGGTTGAACACATGCACAAATCCTGTGTTAGGGAAGCTGCTTTCTCTTTTGAACATTCAAAGTGATTGCCAATATTAGGACAGACACAAACTATTTCACTTAACTGTGACTATTAGGTTCAGTTAATTTAAACAGAAAAGCCTGTTAGCTTCAGGTTGTGGAAGTTGTTTTTGGATAGAATTGGCAAAGAAATTCACAATTAGAATTATTGTATTACTTTAACATTATAAATGTTTCCAAAAGGGGTACAAAAAATGGGGTCTTCCTTCCTAATAATAATAATATAAGAACTTAAGGAAAGAAACAATATTGACTTCATGGCCTTTATATCTGTTACATATCCGGTCCATGAACTTCCGTCTGCTAGCCATCAGAGGTCACCCTTTCCATTTTCATTGACTCTCGCACGACACACTGTTGCATATCACCCCGGACTACATATCCCATCATTCATTGCACTGATTGCACACAGCACTGATTGCACACAGCTGTTTCATATTACTCACTCCCTATTTAACACTCACTCTTATCCCTTCCCTCTGCCGAGTATTGTTTAGCGCTTATCAGTTGATAGCTACACTACAGAGCCCTCGTTAGTTTACCCTGCCTTAGCTTAGTCTTGCCTTGTCTGTTTTCTCGGTTTCTGATCCTTGCCTGGTTTCCTGGATTTATCCCCTTAGTCTCGCCCTTTTGATTCTGTTCGCCGTTCGTTGACC